AGGGTCATTCCTAAATATAATAAAAGCTATATACAGCAAGCCGACAGTTAACATCAAATGAAACGGAGAGAAACTCAAAGCCATCCCACCAAACTCAGGAACACGACAAGGCTGTCCACTCTCACCATACCTCTTCAATATAGTGCTTGAAGTTCTAGCAATAGCAATAAGACAACATAATGGGATCAAGGGGATTCGAATTGGAAAGGAAGAAGTTAAACTTTCGTTATTCGCAGATGATATGATAGTGTACATAAGCAAACCCCAAAACTCCACCAAAGAACTTTTACAGCTGATAAACAGCTTTAGTAATGTGGCAGGATACAAGATCAACTCAAAAAAATCAGTCGCCCTCTTATACACAAAGGATATGGAAGCAGAGAGGGAAATCAGAGAAGCTTCACCTTTCACGATAGCCACAAACAGCATAAAATATCTTGGGGTAACTCTAACCAAGGAAGTAAAAGATCTATTTGACAAGAGCTTTAAGGAAATAAAGAAAGAAATTGAAGAGGATACCAGAAAATGGAAGGACCTCCCCTGCTCTTGGATTGGCAGGATCAACATAGTAAAAACGGCAATTCTACCAAAGGCAATTTATAGATTCAATGCAATCCACATCAAGGTCCTATCAAAATTCTTCACAGATCTTGAGAGGACAATAATCAACTTTATATGGAAAAACAAAAAACCCAGGATAACCAAAACAATCCTATACAATAAAGGGTCTTCTGGAGGCATTACCATCCCTTGATGTGGGAGTGTCATATATCAATCTGTTGATTTCATTGGTTAAGTAATAAAAAAACTGCTTGGGCTCATAGCTTAGAACATAGGAGGGTGGAGTAAACAGAACAGAAAGCTGGGAGGAAGGGGAAGTGAGGTAAGATGCCTCAGACAGAGACGCCATGTTCCTCTCTCCTGGGCAGACACACGCGATGAAGCTCCGACCCAGGATGGATGTAGGCTAGAATCTTCCCGGTAAGTGCACCTTGGAGTGCAACACAGATGATTAGAAATGGGCTAAATTAATATGTGAGAATTAGCCTAGAAGAGGCTAGATAGAAATGGGCCAAGCAGTGTTTAAAAGAATACAGTTTGTGTGTTGTTATTTCGGGGCATAAGCTAGCAGGCGGCCGGGGTGCTGGGGACGCAGCACTGCCACTCCTAATACAACAGAACAGCACCCAACGCTCATATTACTACAATCCCTGACTTTAAACTCTATTACAGAGCTACAGTAATGAAAACAGTGTGGTACTGGCATAAAAACAGAGAAGTCGACCAATGGAATCGTATAGAAGACCCAGATTTTAACCCACAAACCTATGAACACCTCATTTTTGATAAAGGAGCCAAAAGTATACAATGGAAGAAAGAAAGCATCTTTAAGAAATGGTGCTGGCACAACTGGATGTCAACCTGTAGAAGAATGAAAATAGACCCATATCTATCACCATGCACAAAACTCAAGTCCAAATGGATTATAGACCTCAATATCAGTCCGAACACACTGAACCTGATAGAAGAGAAAGTGGGAAGTACCCTACAACAGAGGGGCACAGGAGATCGCTTCCTAGATATAACCCCAGCAGCACAGACATTAAGGGCAACATTGAATAAATGGGACCTACTAAAACTGAGAAGCTTCTGTAAAGCAAAGGACACTGTCACTAAGACAAAAAGGCAACCTACTGACTGGGAGAAGATCTTCACCAACCCTGCAACAGACAAAGGTCTGATCTCCAAAATATATAGAGAACTCAAGAAACTAGACTTTAAAATGCTAATTAACCCAATTAAAAAATGGGGGCACTGAACTGAACAGAGAATTCTCAACAGAAGAAGTTCAAATGGCTAAAAGACACTTAAGGTCATGCTCAACCTCCTTAGCAATCAGGGAAATGCAAATCAAAACAACTTTGAGATATCATCTTACACCAGTCAAAATGGCTAAAATCAAAAACACCAATGATAGCTTTTGCTGGAGAGGCTGTGGAGGAAGGGGTACACTCATCCATTGCTGGTGTGAATGCAATCTTGTGCAACCACTTTGGAAATAAGTGTTTCGGTTTCTCAGGAAATTCGGGATCAACCTACCCCTAGACCCAGCCATACCACTCTTGGGAATATACCCAAGAGATGCCCAATCATATGACAAAAGCATTTGTTCAACTATGTTCATAGCAGTATTATTTGTAATAGCCAGATCCTGGAAACAACCTAGATGTCCTTCAATGGAAGAATGGTTGAAGAAAGTGTGGAATATATACACAGTAGAGTACTACGCTGCGGTAAAATACAATGACTTCTCGAATTTTGCATGCAAATGGATGGAAATAGAAAACACTATCCTGAGTGAGGTAACCCAGACCCAAAAAGATGAACATGGGATGTACTCACTCATAATTGGTTTCTAGCCATAAATAAGGGTCACGGAGTCTATAATTGGTCAACCTAAAGAAGCTAAATAAGAAGGTGATCCCAAGGAAAAACATATAGTTATCCTCTTGGCTATGGGAAATAGACAAAATTGCCGGGGAGAAAAGTGGGATCTTGGGGGTGGGGTGGGTTGGGGGTAAGGGGAGATTGGGAGAGAAAAGTGAGAAGGGGAGGATGGGGGGAACTTGGGGAAACAGGATGATTGGGATAAAGGAAGGCTGGATAGGGGAGCACGGAAGCACAATTCTTAGTTGAGGGAGCCACCTTAGTGTGGCAAGAGACTTGAACCTAGAGTGGCTCCCAGGAGCCCAAGCCGATGTCCCCAGTTAGTTCCTTGGGCAGATGAGGAGAGGGAACCTGGAACGACCCTATCCTATAGCAATACTGACGAATATCTTGCATATCACCATAGAACCTTCATCTGGTGATGGATGGAGATAGAGACAGAGACCCACACTGGAGCACTGGACTGAGTTCCCAAGGTCCCAATGAGGAGCAGCAGGAGGGAGAAGATGAGCAAGGAAGTCAGGACCACGAGGGGCCCACCCACTGAGACAGTGGGGCTGATCTATTGGGAGCTCACCAAGGCCAGCTGGACTATGACTGAAAAAGCATGGGATAAAACCGGAATCTCTGAACATAGCGAACAATGAGGGCTGCTGAGAAACCAGGGACAATGGCACTGGGTTTTGATCCTACTTCATGTTCTGGCTTTGTGGGAGCCTAGCCAGTTTGGATGTTCACCTTCCTAGACATGGATGGAGGGGGGAGGACCTTGGACTTCCCACAGGGCAGGGAACCCTGACTGCTCTTTGGACTGGAGAGGGAGGGGGAGAGGAGTGGGGGGAGTGGGAGAAGGGTGGGAAGAGGGGGAGAGAAATGGGAGGCTGAGAGGAGGAGGAAACTTTTTTTTTCCTTTTCTCAATAAAAAAAAAAGAAAAAAAATATTCTTTGTATTCCTATGTATTTCCAAACCGTACAGTGAGGTGTGATTCTCCTCTGTATGATGTAAATACCACTAATTAATGAAAAAAGCTAATTTGGCCAATAGCAGGGCAGAATTTAGTAAGGCAGGAATTCTAAGAAGATAGAAGAGGGAAGAAGACACAGTCAGGGAGACGCCATGTAGCTGCATGAGGAGAAAGTTATTTGTGTCCCAGTACCAGTAAATCACGAGCATCAGTAGTATAATATAAAATCATGGAAATGGATTAAGATATAAGAGCTAACTAACAATATGCCTAAGCGATTGGAAAAATGAGTGACCTATACCTATAATACACTTTATATTTCTTTCTGCCTAACCTGCACTTTTTCACTATATATCAGCATAAGAGTTATCAGTAATTAAGATTTTGTGTAGTCAACGTTATGCTCTATTTATTTAAATGTCCTGGACCAAATAAGTTAACCAATCACTCTTTTACTCTGCTTGATATAAATTCTCATAATTTGACAGAAAATATCCATAAACTTTGTCAAATGTCACAGAAATGACCTAACACCATTGATGTTAAGCCTTGTGATTCATTTTGGAATCTCTTTAGCCAGGCTTTATAGTTTACTTTGCACTTAGCACAACAGTTTTCCAGGTTGCAATTCAAAAGGCCCATTAAGCTATATTTATAGTAGTCAGCTGCTTCTCTAACCCAAAATTCAAAAGTCTTCAGCATTCCTCTCAAAACAAAGATGGTCAGAATCTTGATGGCACCATCCTACTCTCTAGTATCTGATGTGGGAGTGTCATATATCAATCTGTTGATTTCATTGGTTAAGCAATAAAGAAACTACTTGGCCCTGATAGGTTAAAACATAGGTGGGAGGAGTAAACAGAACAGAATGCTGGGAAGAAGAGGAAGTGAGCTCGGAGAGATGCCATGCTCCCCTCTCCCGGGTAGACGTGATAGCTCCTCTCTCTGAGGCACATGCAATGAAGCAAGCCGCCAGGTCAGACATGCTGAATCTTTCCCGGTAAGAGCAGTGCTACAGATTATTAGAAATGGGCTAAATTAATATGTGAGAATTAGCCTAGAAGAGGCTAGATAGAAATGGGCCAAGCAGTGTTTAAATGAATACTGTTTGTGTGTTGTTATTTCGGGCATAAGCTAGCAGGCGGCTGGGGTGCTGGGGATGCAGCCCCGCCACTCCTATTACTACAAGTATCAACTTATTGACTACTTCTTTATTGGTTTAATAAGATGCTATCTAAAAATAACTTACAGGAGGTAGAATAAATTTGGGTATTTTTATCCAGATGGACCATTCATCATGAGTAGCAGGATGGAAACCAATAGGCACAGCATCAGGAGCAGGAAACTAGTTACTAATATTTTCATTTTTTTTTATTAAAATAGTCTGTTGTTATTTTACAATCAAGCCCAGTTCCCTCTCCCTACCTTCCTCTCATTCTCCCTACCTTCTCCTCAACCCTCATCTTCACCTCACAGAAGGAGAGGCCTCCCATGGAGACTCAACAAAGTTTATTGCATCACATTAAGGCAGGTCCAAGGCTCTCTCCCCTGTATCCAGGCTGAGAAAGGCATTTTTTTCCATAGGGAATGGGCTCAAAAAAGCCAGTTCATAAGAGGAGTCCAGTTCGCCATGGGGCTGTTTGGAAAAACCCAGGAGAGGCCTCCCAAAGAGCTGCGGTCCTAAGAGTAGCTGGTTCCCTGCAGAAGAGCACAGAAGTGATGAAGGCTATGCAGGGTCTTGTGAAGATCCCAGAAATCCAGGCCACCATGCGGGAGCTGTCCAAAGAGATGATGAAGGCTGGAATCATAGAGGAGATGTCAGAGGATACATTTGAAAGCATGGATGATCAGGAAGAAATGGAAGAAGCAGCAGAAATGGAGATTGACAGAATCCTCTTTGAAATCACAGCAGGAGCCTTGGGCAAGGCGCCCAGTAAAGTAACTGACGCCCTTCCTGAGCCCGAACCATCAGGAGCGATGGCTGCCTCAGAAGAGGGAGATGATGAGGAAGATGAAGAGGACCTGGAGGCCATGCAGTCCCGGCTGGCCACACTCCGAAGCTAGGGCCACCCAGTTGGGGCCTCCACTCTCTGGTGCCCTCCTGTAGGTGTGGGCACAGCCTCGAGGAATCACCGTTTCCTGTATCTCTTGCACTATACCTCTGCGGTGAAGCACTACATTTTGGAGAGGGTTCTGTGGTAGTTTATCTTCACTGTCGGCAGAGGCTTTAAGGATTGCTTTCATGAAAGTGGTGTAATCCAATGCATCATTTTCAAGAGCATAAATAGTAGAAGTATCTTCCTTGGGGGAGGGCAAAGAAACCCATTTTCTCATGAAGCAATTCTGAGAGGAGTTGATTGAATGTTGACAACTCTCTGCTGGTATGTGTGTAAAATACTACTTAAGTGGATGTCAATAAACTTCTGCTTTAGCAAAAAAAAAAAGCCGGTTCATATACTAAGAATAAATATTGGCCCCACCAAGAGTGACCCCACAAATTTTCCAAGTCATTCAACTGTCCCCACATTCATGGGGTTTAATTTGGTCCTATGAAGGTCCCCCAACTGTCAGTCCAGAGTCAATGAGCTCCCAATAGCTCAGACAATTTTTTTCTATGGATATCCCCATCATGGTGTTGACCCCTTTGCTCCCATTATCTCTCCTCCCTCACTTTAACCGGATTCTGGGTGCTTGGTCCACTGCTAAGCTGTGGATCTCTGCATCTGTTTCCATCATATACTGAATTAAGGTTCTATAATTACAATTAAGGTAGCAATCAATCTTATTACAGGGGAAGTCCAGTTCAGGCACCCTCTCCACTATTGTTTATACTTTTGCCTTGGATCATCCATGATGGAATTTTTCTAGTGCCTAGTGCCAGGTTTCTCACTAACCCTATAATGGCTCCTTCTATCAAGATATTTCTTTCCTTGTTCTCACTTTCTGTCCTTCCCACAAATCAGTCATCCCAATCCCTCATGTACTGCTCCCCACTCCCCATTTCCTTTCTTTGTCCTTTTCAACCCTTCCTCTACTCTCCATGCTCCCAGTTTACTTAGGAAATCTTCTCTATTTCGCCTTCCTAGGAGTATCCATATGTCTCCCATAGGATCCTTCTTGTTTCCTAGCTTTTCTAGAGTTGGGGAATATAGAATTTACTCTACTTACATTAAGTAATTACTTATACTGAGGGAGGAATTGATAATAACACCATTGTGCATTTTCAGTTGGCTGTCTCTGTTTTCTGGAGCTTTAGAATATGTGAATACTTATGGATAGAACTCAAAAAATCTATCCTAAGTGAGGTAACCAAGACCCAGAAAGACTAATTTCTTAATTAAGAAATTAGTATATACTTTGCTTTACTTTAAGTAGCTACTTAACTAAAATAATCTTTATATTAAGTCTAATATTCACTTATGAGTAAGTACATATTATGTTTGTCTTTCTGGGTCTTGGTTACCTCACTTAGGATAGATTTTTTGAGTTCTATCCATAAGTATTCACATATTCTAAAGCTCCAGAAAACAGAGACAGCCAACTGAAAATGCACGATGGTGTTATTATCAATTCCTCCCTCAGTATAGCACTTTCTCTTTGCAGGCTACTCCATCCAATCCTCCCCAAACAACACAAACAAGTAAGCAGTAAGTGTTCAAATACCTGAGGTGATGGGGAACACTTCTCATTCAAATCAAAACATTTTCATGTTGCAGTCTTTGTCCTGCAAAGGAGAATTTTCTATGTTTGTAGAGTTTTCCATGTAACTTAATGAAATAAATTATTTAAGCTCAGAGAGTTTTGGAAATTAAGGTTTATAGGTTAATCACAAGGGAAGTTGTGTGATTTGAACTGTACAGTTCTTTTATTGTTGTTGCTTTAAACACTCAAAAAATGATTTCCTTTAGACAGAAGGCAAATGTTAAATCTCTACCTTACCTTTTCCTTCATAACTGCAAAATATTAATGTTCCAAAAATTTTTCATTAAAATTAATGGTGTATTGTTTTAGTTACAATAAATGCTTTTATTCTGAAAGTGTAGCCCTGGCTATGTATTATTTTAAAAACACAGTTGATTTCATTTGTGAATTATAGTTACTGGTAATTAGGCTGCATTTAGAGTTCCTGTGATTGCCAAAGAGATATTTGTTACTTTTCTTAGCATATTTCCTTATCAAAATTCTATTCAATTTGTAAGTATTTTCTAAAGATTGTAATCATAAATGGTGCAGATTATGGCATCATGGTTTTCCTAATACTGACATTTAAGTATACATCCCTGGAATTCTAACTACATCTGGGCAAGTGGGGCACATTGGCAGCACTGGAATCTGACAATTGATAACCAAGTTCACTTTGTGGAGAAGAATACAAAGAAAACTGGAGGGGAATAAGACACACATCTCTTTGCAATATTTCCACACATGAGACTTTCATATTCTCCAGGTCCTCTATTTCCACTATCCTTTAGGGATCATGCAAATTTTAAGATCCTCTCTTTGGAAACACCCAGAAGAATTTTGTGATCAGCTTTGATAATTATATATGAAATAAAGTTTGTGAAAAGTAGTTGACTCCCAAAGCAAAAGCTGTCATTTGCCTCTGTAGCTGAAATGAAAACTGTAATTCAGAAGGGAGATGTGGTCACACCCGCGAAACTTTATCTCACAGTTGAAATGGCCCCTTCTCCTTGATGCTGAATTTTGAAAATCTCAGGATGTTATGAAGTGTACTCTGACCAGAAATTTCTGCACAGAGGATCAGTCAGGTGAGAAGTTTATATTTAGTCTGGAAAGAAAATTTAGCTAAGAGAAATCTTAGGAAGTCGTTGTATGAGAAAAGTTGATTCAGAAGTAGCAGACACAGGCAGTATAATTTTAGATTTCAGACTTTATGATTATCTCACAGTTTAATGTGTTTCTAAAATCTTGGTTAGTTATATTATGTTTAATTTAATCAAGGGACTAGAAAATATAAACATTCAAATATGAATTAATGATAATATAATTTCTTTTCTGTATATGAGTGCCTGGGCAGGGACATATTTGTTTAGAAGCATAATATGAATATGTGTGTGTGCATGCGTGTGTGTGTGTGTGTGTGTGTGTGTCAAGAGGACAACCTCAATGTTTCTTCTTTTGACACATTTTACATTTTAAAAATATTATCTTAATATTTTTATACAATGTCTTTAACTGGCCTAGAATGCTCTGAATGTTTTAGACTGTTGTGGTCAGGGAGGGTCATAAATCTTCATTACATTTCATTTCAGTGCTTGGGTGATAGATATGCAATACGACACCTAGATTTTTATATTGACTTGTGGAGGTTCAGCACAGGCCCTAACATATCCAAGGCAAGGATTCTTCCTACTAAACATTCTCCCTAATCTAAAAATAACTGAACCTTTAGGCTACATTATTCCATTTAATATTGTCAGTTATCCAGTTTAATGTCTGAGAATCAATGAAATATCTAAGAGTTAATGCCAGGAATCCAGAGTCCAAGGCAAAAGGATTGGAGAAAATTATACTCCAACCTACATTACAAAATGGGAGAGTTGTGTGGTCCTTTACCAAGTAAATATAACATTTACAGGGGGATTTTTCACAGTTCTACATGGAGTCACCGATACTATTGCCCTTTGTTGTTTTCACATGTAGTGTTATGAGGATGTGCAATCTTACCTATGTTAAGATCTATCCTATAAGAGACAGGATCACTCTTGATCTGTGCTTCATTTTTCCTAAATACAGTCATAATTTATGAACTGTTGTTTTTCCCTTGTATTTGTCATAAATTTCATCATCTTATATTTATACTACTTCAGAGCAAAACATCATCTGAGTATCAGCTGAAGCTGTGTACTAGTAGAAGACATGTGGGAAGGTCTAAAGTTCGAAGTTTAAATTTATGTCAGAATTGTGACTTTGATGGCAACCACGGGAATGTGATGATTGGCATGTAGTTTTATACAACTTCTCTGATTCCAAAATGTTCCCTGTGAAGTGATTACCATTTTTCTATGTGTGAGATGAATGTTGTGTCATGTATTTTAAAGATGGGAGAAGGGAGGTTACTGACTATACAATCATGACTCAATTAATTTTAAAAGAGCAATTAGTTAAAGCAATATTTTTTATTTCTGCAAGCACACTATCTCTTCCTAAGATGGGATTCAAGAAGTCAGCCTTGAAAATTATGAAGACAGGAATTTTATAGTTCAGAAGTACCAGAATTCCAAATGGGGAATTTGACAGACATAGTAGTTGGCCTTACAGGAAGAAAGCATAAGAATTACAAGTTAGTTGTAATGAACTCATGAAACAAAGACATGATTGCAAGGTGATCACAGTGTCGGTATAACAACAAATAGTCATAAAACACTTTTGAAATAAACATAGTTTTGCAAGATGCTTATAACTTTTTTGAAACAAAAAAATATTTGCTGTTTTCCCAGCAGTACAAATGCATTTGCAATTATGGTTAATGGTGAGGCATAGCCCAATTCTTGACAACAGATGTTTAATCACAAACAGGAATGAACTCAGTTTGCTTTTATTTTAAGATGGCTTATGAATATAATACGGAGGCAAGATGGTTCAACATTCAACACTTGTCTTACACATGTTTCTCAAATATTTCATAGGGTCTTAGCATTCTTTCTCTGTAGGGATGGATAAAATTTGAAATGCATCAAAAGATGTGTATCCTGTATATAAATTATGCTGTAGACACGAGGAAGACAAGGACTTTATAGTTCAGGGGTTAGAGTTTTCTAAATCATGGATTTGGCTGACAAAATAGGTGAGGTTACAGGAGCAGAACATAATGTAAGAATAAGATAAAATAGCTTCTGAAAAAAATATGACTGCAAAGTGGTCATAAGATAGACATCACAACTAGTGATGCCTTAGCTAATCCTAAGAATATTTTTAAGCAAATGTAGGATTTGAGAGATCCTTATAACTTTCAAAAGCAAACAGTAAGATACTATTTCCCCCCACCCAAAAAGGCAATATATAACTATATATAGTCAATTGCAGGGTTCATGCAATTTACTGACATTGAAACTCACCCCAGAGGCAACAACCTGATATTTTTGTTGGTTTCTGTCAAATTCCTAACAGTTCTAAAGGCATTCATGTCATTGAGAAGCCCTGCTTAAATTATTTTAAAAATGTAGATAAAATAGTCAGAGACCTTGAGTTGGAGAGATTACTAGTGCCCATTTGGTACAAATCTTATATTAGGTATGGTAACATCCTTTTTCTAAGCTCACTTTGCTAGCAAGAGGTTGATCTTCTCCTCAAATCCTGTTAGGACCTCAGTGGAACATGTCTGGAGTGATTAGATTCATTTTTATTATCACTATGGACCTTCACCTTCTATAAGATTTTATCTTCAACATGGGGAAGGTCACCTCTAATTTACAAGGTATGTGTGAAGAGCAATATGGCAGTACATTGAAAATACAGAGCTGGCAGGTTTAGCAGAAGCCAGGGCCCTCTACAACACATCATTGTGTTTTGCAGAAGTTCCTGAGACAATAGCAGTGTCTACTCAGTTATAGTCAACTTTTAACATAAACAGCACCTGAAATTCAGGAATTATTATGCAGCTGAATGCCCTTTCCAATAAACCACATTTTAATTTCCTCAAACAAAATTCATTCTTTGTGGATGACTGTTAACAAAGTTTGGCAACATGCAATATGGGCTTGCTGTTTTTTTATTAAAAAGCTTATATTTAATATTTTCTATGCATCATTTGTAACTGCATTTATAAAATAAAGAAGGAAAATAAAAGAAAAAATAACTATATAGTCTCAGTTATAGGTAGGGTATAGCCCAATCCTTGAGAAGCAGAGGTTTAATCACAAACTAGAATCAGCCTAGTTTCTCTGAATTATGAGATGGCTTCTAAGCCTACAATGGAGACAGACTGGTTAATTATCTAATTTGTTATGCTTTGTTTTTCTCAAGAAGGTTGGTTCGATGAAGTGCTTAATTTTATTTCAGCCATGATGATTTGTGTCAATGGTCCTTCTTTTCTTTTTTTTTTTAACTTTTTTTTTATTGAGAAAAGAAAAAAAAAACAAATTTCCTCCTCCTCCCAGCCTCCCATTTCCCTCCCCCTCCTCCCACCCTTCTCCCCCTCCCCCCACTCCTCTCCCCCTCCCTCTCCAGCCCAAAGAGCAGTCAGATTTCCCTGTCCTGTGGTAAGTCCTAGGTCCTCCCCACTCCGTGCATTTCTAGGAAGGTGAACCTCCAAACTGGCTAGGCTCCCACAAAGCCAGCACATTACGTAGGTTCAAAACCCCATGCCATTGTCCTTGGGTTCTCATCAGCCCTCATTGTTCGCCATGCTCAGAGAGTCCAGTTTTATCCCATGCTTTTTCAGTCACAGTTCAGCTGGCCTTGGTGAGCTCCCAATAGATCAGCTCCACTGTCTCAGTGGGTGGGTGCTCCCCTCGTGGTCCCGACTTCTTTGCTCATGTTCTCCCTCCCTCTGCTCCCCATCGGGACCTTGGGAGCTCAGTCCAGTGCTCCAGTGTGGGTCTCTGTCTCTTGTCTCCATCCATCACCAGATGAAGGTTCTATGATGATATGCAAGATATTCGTCAGTATTGCTCTAGGATAGGGTCATTTCAGGTTCCCCATCCTCAGCTGCCCAAGGAACTAACTGGGGACCTCGGCTTGGGTATCTGGGAGCCACTCTAGGTTCAAGTCTCTTGCCAACCCTAAGGTGGCTCCCTTAACTAAGAACCGTGCTTCCGTGAACAGAGAATTCTCAGCAGAGGAAGTTCAAATGGCCTAAAGACACTTAAGGTCATGCTCAACCTCCTTAGCAATCAGGGAAATGCAAATCAAAACAACTTTGAGATATCATCTTACACCTGTCAGAATGGCTAAAATAAAAAACTCCAATGATAGCCTTTGCTGGAGAGGCTGTGGAGGAAGGGGAACACTCATCCATTGCTGGTGGGAATGCAATCTTGTGCAACCACTTTGGAAATCGGTGTTTCGGTTTCTCAGGAAATTCGGGATCAACTTACCCCTGGACCCAGCAATACCACTCCTGGGAATATACCCAAGAGATGCCCTATCACATGACAAGAGCATTTGTTCAACTATGTTCATAGCAGTATTATTTGTAATAGCCAGAACCTGGAAACAACCTAGATGCCCTTCAATGGAAGAATGGATGAAGAAAGTGTGGAATATCTACACATTAGAGTACTATGCTGCGTTAAAAAACAATGACTTCTCAAATTTTTCATGCAAATGGATGGAAATAGAAAACACTATCCTGAGTGAGGTATCCCAGACCCAAAAAGATGAACATGGGATGTACTCACTCATAATTGGTTTCTAGCCATAAACAAGGGTCACGGAGTCTACACTTGGTGATCCCAAAGAAGCTAAGTAAGAAGGTGAACCAAAGGAAAAGCATATAGTTGTCCTTTTGGCTATGGGAAGTAGACAAAATTGCCGGGGAGAAAATTGAGATCTTGGGGGTGGGGTGGGATGGGGGTAAGGGGAGATGGGGAGAGAGGGGGGAAAGGGAGAGAATGGGGGGAGCTTGGGGAAGGGGGAGGATTGGGATGAAGGAAGGTCCTTCTTTTCTTATCTTTGGGTTTAGACATATGCCCAAAGTAAAGGAGAGCTATTGTGTCTTACATGTTTGTTTCCTCTCAATGACACTAGATATTGGATTTCATAATAAAATTGGCTATACTTCATCTGTTAATTTCATTATAAATGTGATAATTTTCTTCCTGACTTCTATTAAAGTGATTCAATTACTTTCATCCTCTGTCCATTTAAGAGTTTGTCACACAATATTTCCTGTGTCTCTCAACTCTCCAGTTATTTATCAGTGTGAAAAAGTACGCTTGCCTTTGTATGTTTGTTTCTAAAACTTAATGACACAGAGCTCCTTGTATGATTCCTGTTCTACTACTTAACCTTTATGGTTATTGTGTTTTCACTGTATAATGAACATTCTATTATATAAGAATAGAAATGTCCTTACTGTTGTGGAGATATATATTTATATTTATATTGAATTTCAGATGAGAAATGCATGGGTTTTTTATAATGTTTACAAATAGTTTAAAACATTTTCTTCTTCAATATGACTTGTAATTAAAAGATAATTATAAACTTTAGAAGCCAGCATCCTTTCCATTTATACTCACTGGTAATTACTTCTCCAGCAGCTACTTGGACTTACTGCTAATACTGATACTTTAATGCCAGGTTCTGAAAATACTTTTAAGAAAAAAGTACATTTGAAGTCTTTAGCAGTTTCATTGAGAAATATTTTTTACACATACTGATTCCAAAGTAATTTTGTTACTCAGAGTCCTGTTCTGTAGCTCACTGTATCTTTGCAGTCTTGAAAATATGTGATTTTTGCATGCCAACAGCCACCTCTCAAGATTTCAAGTCACCGTTTTGCTTAGAGAAGGAATTTTTGCAACTGTTTAAAGAAGAAATTTTAAACGACAGAATGGACGTAAAGGATTTGATAATAGGAATAGTGTTCTTACTTCAGAGCATAGTTGGAATTCTTGGGAATTTCTCTTTTCTCTCCTACTATCTCATGCATTACTACATTGAGCAGACATTAAAGACCACAGATTTGATTCTTATACACCTGTTCACAGCCAACTCCTTGATCATTCTTTCTAAAGGATTATTCCATACAATGAAATCTTTTGGGATGAAAGAGTTCACTAATAATTTTGGCTGTGAATTTCTTTTGTATTTTCAAAGACTAGGCAGGAGCATGTCCATTAGCTCCACCTGCTTCTTAAGTGTTTTTCAAGCCATCATAATCAGTTCTGGGAACTCTTCATGGTTGACACCTAAAGTAAAATCTCCAAAGCATATTGGCCTCTTCACTTCCCTCTGCTGGATTTTCTACATGTCAATAAATATTATTTTTCCTGTGTATATGAAAACCAAGGTGAACAACAAAAACATGACACTTAACAGTGTCATGAAATGCTGTGCAGCTTCAAGTCATGATGACCTCACAAGCTCATTATATACAGCATTGTTTGTTCTTCCTGAAATTATGCTTTCTGTCATCATTGTTTGGTCCAGTGGCTCCATGGTTGTCATTCTGTATAGACACAAACAACGTGTTCAACATATCCGCAGCACCAGTGTTACCTACAGATCATTCCCTGAGTCCAAAGCCACCCACCGCATATTGATCCTGGTGTCCACATTTATAGGCTTTTATGCCCTTTCTTCTATCCTACAAGGCTGCATTGCTCTCATATATAACCCTGGTTGGTGGCTGGTGAACATTACTGCAGTCATTTCAATGTGTTTTCCTACTTTGGGACCCTTTGTTATAAGCCATCACTACACAGTGCTAAGGTTGTGCTTTTCCTGAAAAAGGAATCCAAAGTCCTCACAGTTGGATCACAGGTATAAAGATTGCATGGTCTCTTGCCTGAAGTATCTAAATTTTACATTTCTCCTCTTATATAAAACATAAACATATAGCTAATTTTATAGTCACTTGTCTTTTAAGGGGAAACTGTACTTGGATTTAATTTTCTCAAACCAGTATCTGTAAAATCAAGGCAGAGTTGAATGAAACAGGTTGTTCTTTCACAAGAAAATCATACTCTGTTTTTACAAATCATAAATATACTTCCTTGTAGCAAATTGAATAATTTGGACCTCAATTCTTTAGTGTCAGTACTCGAGAGTGTGTGACCAAATCATACACTCAATGGAGAACTTTTCCTGAAAGAAACACTATAAAGAATAATGATGAAAAATAGTTTATTTATTTGTATTTATTTATTCTGCAGGTCTTTTACATCATATATCTTCATCACATTCATTTTCCTGTTGTCTCTTCACATCCAACCTTCAATCCTACAGCCCCCACCACAAATAATAGAAAATACAAGATAAAAAAGAAGAAATGTTTTTTTAAAAAAGGAAAAACTCTTATTATGGAAGGTACAGTGTGATACAGTGAGTCACTCTAAAACCATTTGTCCATATATCTTCACTTGATAGTGTTCATTGTAAAGAGTCCTTGGTCTGTTCCTAGGCCTCTGATTTTTACTATACCATAGACACTGGGTGGTGATGTGGAATTCTCCTCTGTATGCTGTGAATATGTTTTATTATCATTGATTATTAAAGAAACTGTTTCAGACAATGGCTTAGTAGAGTAAAGCCAGGTGACAAATCTGAACAGAGATATATAGAGAAAGTAGGCAGAATCAGAGATGCCATGTAGTTGCTAAAGGAGGCAAAGGCCAGATCCTTACCAATAAGCCACAGCCTCATGCTAATACACAGGTTAATGGAAATGGGTTAATTCAAGATATAAAAGCTAGCTATAAATATGTCTAAGCTATTGATCAAACAGTGTTATAATTAATATAGTTTCTGTGTGATCATTTGGTTCTGAGAGGCTAGGAAGTGAATGAGAAGTCTCCACCTATGAAATGGCATGCCAATGTGAGGCAATTACATCCACATAAATCCTGAGAGAGCTTGGAAAGTAATTCTAGACACAAAAGAGCAGAGTTTAGCATAGTTTCTTGGTAGCCACAATTATTTTAGGATGTTTGCTAGCTCTGTGCAGGGGCACACAGCTCCTTTAGGAGAAGACTTCCTGCCCAAAGATGGTGGTGCACTCCTTTAATCCTAGAACTTGGGAGGCAGAGCCAGGCATATTTCTGTCAGTTCAACACCAGCGTGGTCTACAAGAGCTAGTTCCAGTATAGGCTGCAAAGCTACAGAGAAACATTGCCTCAAAAAAAGGAAGTAGGTGTTCCTGATTCAACAAAGTGAAGGCTGTGCACCTTCTTTAGAGGAGGGCTTCCTGGTTTGTGCTGGCAGAATGAACTCTCGCTCTTTCAGGAGGATCTGCAGGTAAATGGGGTCTGGGAGCAGCAAGTTACAAATTGCATAATGGCATGATATAGATCTGCTGAGTCCCTGGAGCCAGGGCAGTGTGCATGACTTGCAGAGGGAGTAAACTTCTGCCATGTTGAACTGGGCAGAGCCAAAAGGCAAAGCAGTCTTAATCCTAGCCATACCCACTTAGCATTTAAAAAATTAAGCACTCCTGGTCAGAAAAGGATTACAGATATTCTATGAAGACAGATTTAGATGAAAAAAACTTTGAATGGGCCACAGTATGCTTTAAAAAATGTAAGTAGGTTGTTTCCAGGTTCTGGCTATGACAAATAATGCTGCTATGAACATAGATGCCCTTCAGTGGAAGAATGGATGAAGAAAGTGTGGAATATATACATATTAGAATACTACTCAACAGTAAAAATGGGATAAAGGGTGGATATGGGAGCAGGGAAGTATATATCTTAATTAAGGGAGTCATCTTAGGGTTGGCAAGAGACCTGACCCTAGAGGGAATCCCAGGTGTCCAGGGAGATGTCCCCAGATAGTTCCTTGGGAAGCTGAGGAGAGGGAACCTGAAATGGCCCTATCCTATAGCCATACTGATGAATATCTTGCATATCACCATAGAACCTTCATCTGGCTATGGATGGCGATAGAGACAGAGACCCACATTGGAGCACCGGACTGAGGTCCCAAGGTCCAAATGAGGAGCAGAAGGAGGAAGAACATGAGCAAGGAAGTCAGGATCGCAGGATCGCAATTGATGCACCCACCCACTGAGACAGGGGCTGATCTACTGGGAGCTCACCAAGGCCAGCTTGACTGGGACTGAAAAAGCATGGGATAAAAACCGGACTCTCTGAACATGGAGGACAATGAGGGCTCATGAGAAGCCAAGGACAATGGCACTGGGTTTTGATCCTACTGCATGTATTGACTTTGTGGGAGCCTAGCCAGTTTGGATGCTCAACTTCCTAGACCTGGATGGAGGGGGGAGGACCTTGGACTTCCCACAGGGCAGGGAGCCCTGACTACTCATTGGACTGGAGAGAGAGGGGAAGAAGAGTGGGGGGAGGGAGAGAGAAGTAGGAGGAAGAAGAGAGGAGTGGGGGAGGAGGGAAGAAATGGGAGGCTGGGAGGAGGCTGAAATTTTTTAATTAAAAAAATGAGAATATCTTTATACTGAAAAAAATGACGTCTTGAATTTTGCATGCAAATGGATGGAAATAAAAAACACTGTCCTGAGTGAGGTATCCCAGACCCAAAAAAGATGAACATGGGATGTACTTACTCATAATTGGTTTCTAACCATAAATAAAAGACATTGAGCCTATAATTTGTGATCCTAGAGAAGCTAAATAAGAAGGTGAACCCAAAGAAAAGCATATAGTTATCCTCCTGGATATTGGAAGTAGATAAGATTGCCAAGCAAAAATTGGGAACTTGGGGGTGGGGTGGGATGGGGGTAAGGGGAAATAGGGAGAGAAAAGTGAGAAGGGTAGGATGGGGAGAGCTTGGGGGAATGGGATGGTTGGGATAATGGAAGGGTGGATATGTGATGGAGGAAGGTCATTGGCTAATAAAGGAACTGCCTTGGCCCATTTTATTGGTTAGAGCATAGGTAGGTGGAGTAAACAGAACAGAACGCTGGGAGGAAGAGGAAGTGAGCTCAGATTCCACAGCTCTCCTCTCCAGAGCAGACACCTCAGAGAGACACCATGCTTCCAGCTCCCAGGCAGACGCATGCCATGCCCCAGCTCTGACCCAGGATGGACTTAGGCTAGAATCTTCCCGGTAAGACTGGTGCTCACAGATTATTAGAGATGGGTTGATCGGGATATCAGAATTAGCCAGTAAGGGCTAGAGCTAAAGGGCCAAGCAGTGATTTAAATGAATACAGTTTGTGTGTTGTTATTTCGGGGCATAAGCTAGCCGTGCGGGCAGCTGGGGTGCTGGGGATGCAGCCCTGCCACCCCTTATTACTACAGATATGGGAGCAGGGAGGTATATTTCTTAATTAAAGGAGCCATCTTAGGGTTGGCAAGAGACCTGACCCTAGAGGGGCTCCCAGGTGTCCAGGGAGATGTCCCCAGTTAGTTCCTGCAGCTGAGGAGAGGGAACCTGAAATGGCCCTATCCTATAGCCATACTGATGAATATCTTGCATATCACCATAGAACCTTCATCTGGCTATGGATGGCAATAGAGACAGAGACCCACATTGGAGCACTGGACTGAGGTCCCAAGGTCCAAATGAGGAGCAGAAGGAGGAAGAACATGAGCAAGGAAGTCAGGATTGCAATTGATGCACCCACCCACTGAGACAGGGGATGATCTACTGGGAGCTCACCAAGGCCAGCTTGGCTGGGACTGAAAAAACATGGGATAAAACCGGACTCTCTGAACATGGAGGACAATGAGGGCTCATGAGAAGCCAAGGACAATGGCACTGGGTTTTGATCCTACTGCATGTACTGACTTTGTGGGAGCCTAGCCAGTTTGGATGCTCAACTTAGACCTGGATGGAGGGGGGTGGACCTTGGACTTCCCACAAGTCAGGGAACCCTGACTGCACTCTGGACTGGAGAGGAAGGGGGAGGGGTGGGGGAGGGGGAGGAAAATGGGAGGTGGAGAGGAGGCGGAATTTTTTTTTCTTTTTTTATTGAGAAAAGGAGAAAAAAAAACAAGTTTCCACCTCCTCCCAGCCTCCCATTTCCCTCCCCCTCCACCCACCTACGCCCCTTCCTCCCACCCTTCTCCCCCTCCCCCCACTCCTTTCCCCCTCCCTCTCCAGTCCAAAGAGCAGTCAGGGTTTTCTGCCCTGTGGTAAGACCTAGGACCTCCCACCTCCGTCCATATCTAGGAAGGGGAACATCCAAACTGGCTGGGCTCCCACAAAGCCAGCACATTACATAGGATCAAACCCCCGTGCCATTGTCCTTTGCGTCTCATCAGCCCTCATTGTTCGCCATGTTCAGAGAGTCCAGTTTTATCCCATGCTTTTTCAGTCACAGTCCAGCTGGTCATGGTGAGCTCTCAATAGATCAGCTCCACTGTCTCAATGGGTGGGTGCATCCCTCGTGGTCCCGACTTCTTTGCTCATGTTCTCCCTCCTTCTGCTCCTCATTGGGACTTTGGGAGCTCAGTCCAGTGCTCCAGTGTGGGTCTCTGTCTCTATATCCATCCATCACCAGATGAAGGTTCTATGATGATATGCAAGATATTCGTCAGTATTGCTCAAGGATAGGGTCATTTCAGGTTCCCTATTCTCAACTGCCCAAGGAACTAACTGGGGACCTCAGCTTGGGCACCTGGGAGCCCCTCTAGGGTCAGTCTCTTGCCAACCCTAAAGTGGTTCCCTTAACTAAGAATTGTGGTTCCGTGCTCCCCTGTCCAACCTTCCTTTATCCCAATCCTCCTGCTTTCCCAAGGCCCGACCACCTTCCCTTCTAACTTTTCTCTCCCCATCTCCCCTTACCCCCAACCCACCCCACCCCAAGAT